GTGTGCTTGCTTCATCAGCTTGCCCTTGCTAGCTATTCTAAGCTGCTTTCCCACTCACTCTTCCTCCCACCACGTTAAAAAAAACCACCTCTCCCCCCCAAAAAGAACCCCCACGCACAATGTGCTCCACTTTTCGCCCTCTGTTTCCTCTGCTATAAGTCTCCCATATCACTTCCTCTGTGCTTTGGGAGACAAAAGGTTCATCCTGAAATTCAGGAGCTACCTGGTGGTCCCAAAGGTGCTGTCACACAGTGGAAGACAGCGTCTTTTTAAACAGCTTTGAGACAGAAGGGGAAATCTTGAGTCTACATTGAGCTGCCCATCCTATTCAAGGTAAAACCTACTTTTAGTAAAAGGCTTGGAGCTGTCCAAGCACTTTGCAAAAAAGCAGATGTTTGGAGGACCAGAAGCCTCAGAGCTCCCAAATTCTGCAGGCCAGGTGCCAGGCCCTTCAGAGGAACRGCTGCAGAACTCACATTAAGGATTTCCACAGGTGCCTTTACCTTAGTATGTAGAAATCTCAGACCTTCATATAGCATAAATACAGCAGATAAGAGATGCTGGAGGTGGAACAGTGAAAGGAAACAAAGCATTTAAAGATAATTATGATAGTAGCCAATGTTGCCCTGTGGCACTCTGTTCTGCAAGTTCCAGCTTAAGGTCTAGATTAATTTTCTTGCTTTCCATTGGAAGAGATCTAGAATTTTCAAATTCAAGTTATTTAAATAACAACTGATTAAAAAGATGCACATGTGCAAGAAGAGATACTAAACTACCGACTCAAAATACATCAATTCTCCAGAAACTTAAGTATCACAGGCAGTCCAGCGCAAGGCGTTTAAGTGCAAGATCACGCAAGTTCTGTTGAAATGCAGACCACTTTYCTTGGCAAAGAGTTTTCAACTTTCCAAAGGGAAGTTCCCACTGATTAAGTAGTACAGAATCACAGATACTGAGAGGAGACTGGAGTCATGGAAGAATATTACTCACAGCGGGAACAAACCAAGAATTTTCATTGGTAAGAATTAAGGTTTTTTTYCCTCCCCAAGCCTAACACATGCCTTCCCCACGTGCTGTTTACCTGGGCCTCTCCATGTGATCCAAGAACAGAATTTGCTGCTAATGAAGGCCCATTTCCAGCTCAGTTCTATCAAATTCCTCTGTCCTGGGCCTGTGCCAGCACCCTGGACGTCTCTGCAGTGCCAAGCAAAGCTTTAGTCCTCCTGTGAGCCCCTCCTCCCAGGCAAGAGGGGTCAGTTTTCAACCAGCTTATGACCACAGATTGAGGACAGTGTTTGTTATTAACAGTGAATTTCGCAAAAACTGAGAACCCCCCACTTTCCATGATGCATTTCTCACACAGCACAGTCAGGGCTTGACCTCCTGTTTTGCATACACAGGAGGTATGGGCTCAACTGTGCTGCATTTCTGAGCTTTTAGCAAGGATAAATTCCACCTGTGTAGCCAATCTGCACTTGAGATGCATTTTGGTCTCCCCCTTTCTCAACAGGGAAAGAGAGAAACCTCTGTACTCTACAGTCAGTCTAAAGACTTACTTACCAGAGTCAGGCAAATACAGTTGTGAAGTCCTGACAGGAGGCAAAACAGCACTGGGGAGAAAGCCTTAACAGACTGGTGTTATCTACACAAGTAGGATCCATGGCCTCGCTGCTGCAGGAAGAGAGGGAGGAGGAAGGTGGGAAGAGCAATGCACAGAGAAGTATCTTTATCCAAGGTACATCAATTGCGGAACAAGGCAGCAAGCTGCAGATCCAACTCTTTTTCCACCTCCGCATGCCCTCTCCCCACAAAGGCAGCTGCTGCCACTTAACAGGATGAAAGGCGGATTGTTCAGCTTGCTGCCTGCACGTCTGGGAGGGAAGGCCCTGCCAGGGGAAAGGGCCGAGAGCTTTTCAGATGGCCCAAGTAATGACAAATATCTGCCCCCAATGCAACACTGCCCTTTGTTTTTGCGTATCTGAAATGAGGAGAAAAGGAGAAAAAAAAATCATGAAGGTCTCTGTAAACATTTTACGAGGAGACATTTTGGATTTGTTTTCTTAAGGAATAGAGTAACCGTTCCCTAGCCCCACCCTAAAAGCACTGGATTTGAGGAGCACGGAAAATGGAGGATCAAAGCTGTGCGCTCCGGTCTCGGAAGAAGCCCTCGGCCACTTGCGCTTCTCGGAAGGTGACGGTGATGGAGTTTGCCGTGATGTCTGTCACGGTCACTTCGCTGGGGGGCACGGTGGGGATCCAGGGGAGGCTGCCATCCACGTCTGCTGCACACGGAGAGGCAGGTGAGAACTCATTAGCAGGGGAGAGAGATGGGGGCCGGGGAGGACAGAGGGAAGGGAGGAATGGAAAAGGAGCCTCCTTCCTGAGGAATGGCGGGTGACATCAGCCTGTATTGAGCCTGCACACACGGCAAGGCAAGCCCTTCTCTCAGAGGGTCACTGCAGGATRGAAAGGAAAGAGAAGAGTAGAAAGGGTGCCCACACACACCAGCATTGTCGCAGCCTACACGCAGGCCATCAAGAACCAGTAACACCAATTTGATCCCCACACATCTCCCCTGCTTCAGCTCCCGATGGCCTGCACGTCAGCAACACGTTCACCCAGCTGCGAGCTCAGCTGCTTGGAAGTGCTGCACCCTGCTCACAAGCCCAAGTTCTTACAGACTCTCCTCAACTCCCTCTACRAGGGTCAGAGAAAGTCCAAAACAGAGGGCCTTCCCTGTACTGCACCTGCAACACGCCCAGGGTATAATTCTCTCCAAAACCCATCACTGTTGCTTCATGGAAAAGCTCCTATCTGTTTTTCATACCTTCCCACCTCTGCTTTATAGYGGAGAACCCAAACTAACTTTCCCCAACTGCTCCATTTTGTCAAGGTAAGAACAACTTGTAATTGAACAGGCCTTCTCCCACCCAAAATCCCATTTCCCTCCCAATCCCCAGAGAGTGACAAAAACATATGGAGTGCAGGAGGAAGATGTTTCCCCTCCCTACCGCTTTACCTGCCCTGACCTAGACAAGAAATGTGTGTGCCTCAAGATGGTATTTCCTGGCTTCTGTCTCAGATACTGGAGTGGCTGCTCTCACCTTGGAAAGGATCCACCCACACTAACTGGAATTCAGCACAGGCTGCACATCAAGCGGAGAACAAAAATCATTTTACATTTCTCTAGCACCATTCATCTTCCAGGGTGCCAAGGAGTTTAGAGGCCAGAATTTCCAGGGGAAAACACACAAGCAGSATGAACTCCAGTTGGCTGCTCTGCCAGGCTGTACCCTCAGAAGCTCCAGTAGCGAAGGGCAGTTTCCCTGGTCAGTCGGTGCAACGTGCATTACCCTCCTGCATGAGGCACTGGCACCCTTGTCCCAAATGTCAGATGTGCTGGGGCACCTCCCACGCCAGCGCTCCCGCTGCCTACGTGGTGGGATCGGGCAGGTGTCACCAGCCCTGCTTCACCTCTCTCATCCTCACAGAATCACAGAATAKTTAAGGTTGGAAGGGACCTCTACAGATCATCTAGTCCAACCTTCCTGCTCAAGCAGGCACACCYAGAGCATGTGGCACAGGGTGGCATCCAGGCGGGTTTTGAAGACCTCCAGAGTAGGAGACTCCACAACCCCCCTGGGCAGCCTGTTCCACTGATCTGTCACCCTAACAGTAAAGAAGTTGCTCCTCACCTGGAAATGGAACTTCTTGTGCTTCAGCTTGTGGCCATTACCCCTCGTCCTATTGCTGGCTCACTTCACATAGTTCTCAGCCAAGGCACTTGAGAAGATGTGTGGTGTGGGGAAGAAGGGGAAGACGGGGTAAAAGGAAGGCAATAGGAGGCATTTCACTGATACAAGGCTACAGAGAGGCAACATCACCACCGAAATTGTCACGCTGTGCACCCAGACAAAGGAAGGCCCTGCAGAGAGGAGGTCGCAGCGGCAGCCTGCTCGAGCTGCTCTGAAGCCCTGACCCAAACCGCAGCCCCAGGATGCAGCAAGCGGGCAGGAAGCGCTCGCAGCAGCCTGCCCACGGCCAGCGCTCCCCGGCCTTACCTTCCTTGCCGGCGTGCTGCGCGGCCTGCCAGGCCTCGGCGCCCTGCCTGCCTTCCAGGCCCACGGCGTCGTTCAGGAAGAAGTCGTGCCTGCAGTTGCGACCCTCCAGGCTCGGCATGCGCGGGAACTTCTTCCTCGACAGCCGCAGGTACTTCTGGTTTTTGCGCTGCTTTCTCAGAGAGAACGGCAGGACCGCCCCGCCAGTCTTCTCCGAGAACTCTGCCTGGCCTGCCTTGGCGCCTGGCAGGCTGCTGTCCCCTCCTCCAAACCTCCGTGCGAGAGAGAAACAGAGCTTCTCCTTTCCCTTGTGTGCGCTCCTCAAGTCCATGCCATAGAGCCGCTGCCGAGACAGGAACGCAGCAAGGGTCAAAACGGGAACTGGGTAATACAGCCAGGGCTCCCATCTGGGAGCCAGGAAACAGCCCCTATTCTGAGCTCAGTCCCTCAGCATCTAAGTGACCTAGCGTAAGATGCGCCACTTCTACAACACTGCTCCTCTCACCTCTTCATCTAAGCTCTTCCTAACACGGGCTTCCTGGAGTCAGCTGCTTTGCGCAGCAGCAGTCAAAGCAAGCTGGAACATCACCTCCTTCCAGCTACTGCCTTTAACGTGCGGAACTGTCCAAGCTCAGTTCAGTTTTAAAGAACATGAGACCCAGGTAACCTGCAACCAACTCAAGTCCCAGATTTGTAAGATTCTGTTCTGCAGAGCAATAACATTCTTTTTCCCCACCTTTTTCCTTCTTCATTTAAAGACAGGTTAGCTGACCTGTCTTTAAGGCCACCCTGCCAACCCACTGACTTCAAGCTGTCRTGCTAGCTTGTCACCTCCAAGCTTGTCCATGCATCAGCAAATGGACAGTTCCTGCTTCCCTAGGGGCACGGCAGCAGCGCGGCAGAAAATGAGTTAAAACACCCAGGAGAAGAGCAAGAGGCTACCTGCAGAAGGAGGCGCTTTGGTTTGGGACCTCTTTTCCTGTACCCCGAAGCACGGTCTCGCTCTTCTCTGCGAAGAAGGAACAGATATCAAACCCAGTGCCCCGCACCACAGCACAAAGCCCAGTTAAGGACTTCTGCCTTCTGCAGCACAGTTCCCTCTCTGCTTCCATTAAAACCCAACAGTGTAGGCTTGGAAAGCATCCCAGAACTGTTTCTTGTGGGAGCAAGTGTCTTGCAATAAGGGAATTTCTCTGACTCAAGGGTAGGTTAGAGAGACTTATCGCTTCTACATCAATCCAGCCCAGCCTTGGCCCTACTTAAAACCTGTGACCAATTGCTCTCTGGCTAAATGTTGTTTGTGCTTAGTCTCATTTCCTGAGCAGTGCCAGTCACGGCTGCTTTAACTCCATCTCGTCTGCCTTGGCCAAGAGCAAGGTACAGAGAACAAGCTGGGCTCGTTCCTATACATCCCATCCTTGGCAGGAGCAGGGACAAYAGGGGCACTTTATGCAGGCTTCAGAACAACGACCCCATCCCCTTTGCTGTGTCCAGGAGAGAGAACATGGCCCCTTACTTTTCTTCATAAGCCACTACCAGGCGAGGGTCCAAGATATGATCTTCTGGCTCCCATGTGCTGTATCTGAAGAAAAACACAAGGAAGATAAAGTAAACAAGGCTTTAATGAAACATTCTCTCTGCAGGCCTGCTACCCAGGCTGCTGAGGCCCTSGAAACTGCCTTTGCAAGGGTCAGTGGGGCCTGCCACAACATTGCTGGAGCCCTGAGGAATCTCAGCCATTCCCTCCCCAAAAGCTTCCTGCCAGAAACCACCTCCCCTTCCCAAAACAGGCAGAGCCAAGCTTCAAGCAGCTCTTTGTAAGCCAACAGGGCAGGCTTTCCTCCACAGGGCCCCTTCCTCACTGTGCACAAAGCCTGTGCAAAAATTCACCGACTGCTTTTAAGCAGATGCCTAAATAGGTCTCATTTGCAGCACACTCCCGCACATCCAGGCAAACGTGCGAAACGCTGGGACTTGAGCAGATCCAACCCTCTGGAAAAATAGGTCTCTCAATTCAGAGCGCCCCAAGAGTAAGTATGTTTCCTCACCTGCATTATTAATTACCTCTAATCACTGGAGCTGAAAGCATTCATTTAAGAAGAGTTTATTTTTTCTCCACTGATGCCTTCCGACTAAACATGCTCAGACCTGGGCCCTGAGGCAAGTTAATGGCAACTCTCCAGCTCCTCCTCCTCCTCCTGCTCCCTGTGGGTTATTTCTGGCTAGGAGAGGTCAGCAGGATTTCTGTATGGGAGCTGGAGGGACCYGTTTGCAATGGTGTTTTATCAACGCCTCCAAACGGGGCAAAAACTGCTCGGGAGGTTTGCGTTGTGGGGTGATGAGAGGTGCTAGAAACTATAGTATAACTCTTTCACAAAATGAGAGGAAGGAAAAAAACCCCACAAACTCACAAAATTCAACTATCCCACGGTGTGCTGTACATCAGAGGGTTAAGCATAGACCTGTCTTCCCAGCCAGCTGATCCCTCCCTCGCTGCCTGAGCCTACTGCAGCCATCTGAGTGTGAGCTGTCAAAGGCAAGATGCTGTTTGAAGGGAGGAAGGTTTTCTCCCAGCTGCAGGGCTTTTGGCACTCRTTCCTCACATGTATGAAAAATAAGAATACTTGGGGAGGGGGGAAAACGCCAGCTCGCTATTCATGGGCAGGAGAAGAAAGGGGGGTTGCTATAAAAAATACCAAAACAAATAAATCTACAGCAACGAAAACAACCTGGTGGGTGTTGCCTTTTTCTCTGCAGCCCAGTCCCTGGCTTTGCTGCAGTGGCAAAACACTGCATGTAAAAAATATGGCTCACTTTGCCGCATGCACACGCAGATATATATATCTATAGATATAGATATATTAAACACACACATGCATACACACATACAGTGCACAGAGGCCAAGCTGCAGCAGAGCTGCAGAGAGCAGGCACTGTGGAAAACATAGATCATATGATCTTGCTTCCCCCTCCTCCTACTCCTCCTCTTCCCCCTCCCCTCTTAACTCCAACACAAGTTGTAAACAAGCTTGGAGCTGCAATTGGGTTGTAACTCCTCCATTCCCTGGCTGGAGCAGTACAATCCAGGAATCTGAGGGATGGGGCATTAGCAAGCATTTTTTTTTCTTTTTTTNTTTCTCTCTCCTTTTTTTTTTTTTTTTTTTTTTTAAGTGTGGAAAATATTCAACATATGAGAAAGCATCAAATTTCTGTCCTAGCCTCAATCCCCTCTGGGAAACTCCCAGCTGGAATCATGGGTTAACAGGCACTGAGATTACAGAGAGCAATGCGACAAGGTAGGGGAGGGGAATAGCAAAATACCATGGAGGATGAGAAGGAACATGTTGGAAAACAAGGATGCGAAGAGCTCGTGGTGCTACGTGCCACTGCAGGCGCATGTACGTTTGGAAACAAGGAGCAGAGGCCACTGGCAAGATGAAAGCAGCTTGCAGGCTCAAAGCATTCTCAATTTAAGCAGCTCAGGCTACTGAATAAGCAGTTATAAAGAAAAAAAAAAAAACAAATCAATGCTCTTCACATCCCGTATTTGGACGCTGGGGGAAGGAAGGAAGGTGCTTGGACTTGTCACAGCATAAAAGAAGGGTCCGTGACACCCCTCTTGTCCCCCTGGGTGGAAGGTTGTGGGTTTTCATTGCCTGAGCAGAGATTCTGGTTCCCCCAGGGTCCCAAGGTAAASGGCAAGGAAAGGCAGCAACAAGAACAAGGGCTGCTCTTGTCAAAAGGAACATCACACCACGCCTCAGCCCATCTCCTTGGCAAAGCACTGTACAAGAGAGAGACCTCCATGCCCTGTGGAAAGCAGAAGGGRACAAACATCAATGTTCTGACGAAACAAGGGATGGTGCCTCACAGGCTCCGTGTCCCAATTCGTAACAGGGATTAAATCAGGCGTAGCCACTTCGGAGGCTGACATGGGCCAAAACCTGCCCAACAGCTGCTACTCAACAAGTGCACCAGTATTTATAGCCAGGAACAGAGCCCCTCTCTCCCAACGGCATCAGAGAAGGGGAGCCGCTCCCGTTCCTGTGCACCCCACAGCGYGAGGGCACGCGGACACGCGCTCCGAGTGCTCCCACACCGGGGACAACCTCTCAGGCCCACGTCCTTGCTGGGCTTTGGRCTAGTGAAGCCAGACACCATTGCTTAGCATCATCCAGTGAAACTGCACGTGAAATTGAGCCATACCCGGGCACATTGTGCATGCAGAAGCACACAGGTACAAACAGAAAAGCAAAGGCAAGCCCAGCCTCTTGGTCAGTCCATGAGGGCTCTGCTAGCTTGCTAGCTAACACAGTAATAATATTMTACAGTTATCTCATCCTTTTGTGCTCAAAGCATTTTACAAATGGCTTAGTCACAGAGCAAGGACTTCTCTTTAGAAGCAGCTGCATTTTAATAAGGAAGAGAAGTCGCAGTAAACAAGGCACAGCAATGCTACAGAAACTTTGGTTTTTCTTTCAACACGGCCACCAAAGGCAAGGCAGAAAAGGCACTCGAAACAGCAGGAGGTTTCAGACAAGAAACTGGAGGTGCGATGGTCATTTGAGACTAAAACCCGCTGGGGTTTGGTTACATTTAGTAAGTTTGAAACACGCCACTTCTCCTTTTGTGAATGGCAGAAGGGAGATAGCACCAGGACTGCACAGAGCCCTAAAAATAAAGGGAGGTTCTTTTGGGGCCGATTCAGAAAGGCAAGCACCACTCTGTTCTTAGAAGAATCAGCTTTTTCTCTAAAAGTCATGCTGAACTTGTGTGGATTCACATCTAGAAAGTGTCTTAATGGAATATTTCAGCAGTAGCAAAAAATAAACAGCCACAACAGATTGGCACAAGATCTGTATCCCTCAGCTGCCAGTTTGGAAATAAGAACAGAGTTTTGGGCTGTGGCTCTGTTTTTTTTTTTTT